CTTTCCGACGAACTTCTTCCGACGGACTCCCTACAAGCTCACAATCTTTGTGATGACTTTAACGAGTAGCCGAGCCTTCTCGGTGATCTCCGCGAGCCTCCGACGATTTCTTCGGCGAACTTCCGACACGTTCCCGATTTCTTCTCGGATGGTTCCGGCAGCATCTCCGATGATTCTTCGGTCTCTTAAACGTCCATCGAGCTCGACTCCGGTATCCTTACTTTATGTTTGCTGGTTATCGTAGTTAATCCTGCACACTTAACTCAATAATATGGATTAGATCAATTAACCCACCAATTGATTATATCATCAAAATCCGAGATTCAACAGGGGTCAGCTCCGCGATAAAGTCTGCCACGGACTGAGCTTTAATGGCAGTGCGAGGTACGTACTATATGTCGTGCTCACCGAGCTCCACTGCCCATTTGAGGAGACGCCCTGCAACGTCGAATTTAGACAAAACAAGCCGAAGCGGCCGGTCAGTTATTACCTCTATCGGGTGGGCCTGGAAATAAGGGCGGAGCTTTCGTGCTGACAGGACGAGCGCCAGCGCCAGCGCCAGCTTTTCGATTGGCGGGTAGCGTCCCTCTGGCCCGCTTAGCATGTGGCTGACATAGTAGACCGGCAGTTGGTCGCCGGAGTTTTCCTTGACCAAAACCGAACTGACCGTATGCTGGGAGGCGGCGAGGTAGAGACTCAATCTCTCCCCTGGGGAGACTGAAGCGAGTCGGGGGAGGTTGGCCAGGTGTTGCTTCATCTGCTCGAAGGCCCTCTCACATTCCGTCGTCCATCGGAAGTTCTTCGGATCCTTCAGGGCCTTGAAGAAGGGGAGGCAGCGATCTCCCGATCGGGAAAGGAAACGTGATAGGGAGACCAGCCTCCCGTTAAGGCGCTGTAGGTCTCTGATCGTCCGAGGGGGCTGCATGTCCATAATAGCCTGGACCTTTTCCGGGTTGGCGTCAATCCCTCTCTCGTGTATGATGAATCCGAGGAATTTCCCCGAGGTTACGCCAAAGGCGCACTTGGCAGGATTGAGGCGCAGGCCGAACCTTCGCAGGGTGTCGAATGTTTCAGCCAGGTCGGAAGGATGAGCTTCCGCTGTTCGGCTCTTCACGATCATGTCGTCGACATATATCTCCATGTTTCGTCCAATCTGGCGGGCGAACATCCTGTTCACCGTCCTCTGGTAGGTGGCCCCGGCATTTTTCAACCCGAACGGCATGACTTTATAAAAATATACCCCTTGTTCGGTGAGGAAGGCTGTGTGTTCTTGGTCTTCGGGTGCCATCCTGATTTGGTTGTATCCGGAGAAGGCATCCATAAACGAGAGACGGGCGTGGCCGGCTGTGGCGTCGACTAGCTGGTCGATCTTCGGTAGGGGGTAGCAATCTTTTGGGCAAGCATTGTTGAGACTGGTGTAGTCAATGCACATCCGTCAGCTTCCATTAGGCTTTTTGACAAGGACTACATTGGAGAGCCATTGTGGGTACCTTGCCTCTTCTATGAAACCGGCCGCCAGAAGTCGGTTTACCTCTTCTCGGATGGCCAGTTGCCGATCTGGGGCCTGCCGCCTGGGCCTTTGTTTCACCGGACGGGCGTCGGACGAGATGTTTAGGTGGTGCAGCGCGACTTCCGGGTGGACTCCTACTAGGTCAGACGACGTCCAAGCGAAGATGTTGGTGTTGGCTTGCAGGAGGTCGACGAGCTGCCGTTGCTCCTGTTCGGGCAGTCCCGACCCGATTTTGACTGTTTGGTCGGGTCTGCCTTTGATCAGCGGCAAGTCGATGGTTGATTCCTTCGGCTCGGGGCGGGGAGTCGGTTTTTTTCCCTCCCGGGGGTCTTCCAGCGGGGATTGGACCCTCGCTCTCTTGTTTAGCGACACGGCAGTCAAGTAGCAGCGCCTGGACTCCCAGGAGTTCCCCGCTACTTCTCCGACCCCATCGCGGGTCGGGAATTTGATGGTTTGGTAGTAAGTTGAGATGACGGCACGGATCTTGTTGAGGGTTGGCCGTCCGAGGATGGCGTTGTATGCCGTGGGGAGGTCGACCACCAGAAAGGAGGTCATAACTGTTTTTGTCTTTGGGAAAACTCCCAAAGTTAGAGGCAGGGTGATAACCCCTAGTGACGAGATTGAGGCACCGGTGAACCCCGTGAGCGTCGAGCATACCAGCTTCATGCTCTCCTTGACCAGGCCGAGCTTTTGGAAGGCGTCCCAATAAAGTATATCGGCCGAGCTTCCGGTGTCGACCATGATCCTTCTTATTTGCGCGTTGGCGATTCTGGCTGATATCACCAACGCGTCATCATGTTCGGCTAGCCCAGGTCCCCCGGTCAGGAAGGTGACTTCGGGTCCTTTTTCATGTTTGGAAGCTTCGGCTCGGGAGGCCTTGGCGTGTGCTTTTCCGCCCGCCATGGAGTTCCCTCCGGACGCGGGCCCGCCGGTTATGACATCTATGTGCCGCTCGATGGGACCCTCCGGGCGTGGTGAAAGCTCCTTATCTGGCCGGAGGTATGGGCCGAGGTGCCCTCGGCGGATGAGCTCCTCAATTTGCCTTTTTAATTCTCGACACTCGGTGTCGTGACCGGGCTGTCGGTGGAAACGGCAGTATTTAGAGCGGTCCGCGAGTTCGCGCGGGCTCCTCATCGAGTGGGGGTCTTTGAGAAGGCCTTTCTCCTTAATGTGGAGAAATATTTCGGTCCGAGAGGAGTTCAGGCCCGGGGGGGGGGGACCTGGGTACTGCATCATTGAGGCCGCCGGTCCTACGCCGGGAGGTAGCGGGCTGTTGTTGCCGGGACTGCTCTGGCTTGACCCTCTTGCGCTCGTCGTGCCTCCCGACCATCCATGCTTTAGCAGCGATGAACTGGTTCGCACGCTGGAACATCTCGGGTACCGAAGTGGGGGGTCGCTCCACCAGGGACCAAAAGAATCGGGTAGGCCGCAGGCCCATCATAAATGCCTGCATCATCAAAGAAGGGTGAGCATCAGGCAACCCGCGAACTTGTGTGGTGAAGCGGTTCACAAAGTGAGAAAGGGGCTCGTCCTCCCTCTGGTTGAGCCCGAGGAGCATTGCCACCGACGGCTTCAGCTTGGCGTGAGCCAGGAAGTTAAGCTCGAAGTCTTTGGCCAACTGGTCGAAAGAGGCGATGGTCGCGGTCTTCAGATTGCTGTACCATGCTCGGGCTGGGCCTCGCAGGGTTGTTGGGAATGTCCTGCACATCAGGGCGTCGGACGTCCCGTATAGCGCCATCTGGGCGCGGAAAGCAGCTACGTGGTCCGCCGGGTCGGTGGCTCCGTCGTAGGCATCCAATGAAGGGAGCCGAAAATGCGGCAGGATCGCTTGCTCTTGAATCTCGGGGGTGAAAGGGGACCCCTGATGTTGCTCGGCCCCCGGGTCTCCCCTGGTTCGGCGAACCTCACGCTACACCTCGTCCAGTCGGTGGCCTACGAGGCGTAGCTGGGCCCACAAGCCCTCCGCCGAGTCTGAAAGCGGGGCCACGGGCATCGGGTGCGCCTCTGGATCCTCCGCTCCTTGACTCCCGGGTCGGGTCGACTGGCCCGGAGGTGAAGCGGGGGACTCGGGAAGCGGTGCGGGGGTCTGAGCGGCGGACCGTTGCCGTGGCGAAGGTAGGGTTGAGTGTGAAGACGTCGGATGGGAGACCAGTGGGATGATGGTCTTCATCACCCCCGTGAGAGCCCGGACCTGGTGTGTGAGGTCGTAGAAGGCTTCGGGTGGCACGGGTGACGGGCCGCCGGGATTGGCGATGGGTGGCGATAGACCCGGGTCGTTGAACAATCGCCAATAGCGCTCCGAAATTGCAGCGGGGCGCTCGTCCCGAACCCCCTCCTGTTGGGGATGTTCTTCTGTCGCGTCGGTCTGGTGCGACCTGACGACTGGGGGTTCGTCGGAGTGAGCCTGTTGATCGCTTGACATTCGGACCGACCCTCCTTCTAGCGCCATTATGTTAGTGTAAACACCTTTTTCTTAGCCGTGACCCGGGGGGTCGTCTCGGCTCGTTCGGGGGTCCGAATGGCGGGGATCTCCCGAGGCGTTGCTCGTCTCTACTAAGGCGGTCGGGGGCGGCCTCGGTCTCGGGGAGATGCTGTGACTTCTCCCGGGCGTTGCTCGTCTCTACTAAGGCGGTCGGGGGCGGCCTCGGTCTCGGGGAGATGCTGCGACTTCTCCCGGGCGGGGACTTCTCGCCTA